AGTCGCTTGATAAAACTTATTGTTTGTATCATCACCTTTGAATTTCTAAATAATATACAAAACTTAGTGAAGTTATTAGACGTCATTCTAGCTCGTCACAACAAGAACACACGTTACCTACCTTTAGTAATAAAACTTAGTCTCTCCCACAATAAAAACTTAATCGTTTTTATTCTTATCTTAATAAAAACACGTGATTATTACATCGAGAATTTAACTTTAATAAAAACGGTAACAGTATTAACACCACCTCCTTTGGATTACAAAAGACAAGAATATCTTTACCAGAATATTCGCCCATTTATGAAAGATAAATACAAAGATATTACTTGCCCAAAACCATTCTATACTGGCAACAAATAAAATATTCAGAATAAAATCATCTCCATCACTAATTAATTTGCCTTTACTTTAATAAGTTTAATTTTTTGATAAATATTGTTAGTTTTAAAGTAAAAAAGCACTAAAATAATTTATATACTTAATATGCCCATAAAAAGGATATAAGTATATTAAAAGAATAAAAAAAAATATGACAAACCAAGAAATAATTTTAACTGAAGAGGAAATAAAAGAACTAATTGGTAATTTAAACTGAAATCCAAATGAATCAGAAATAAGAGCAGTTACAGATTACTTTTTACTTCGTTCTTATGCTTCAAAACACTTAGAAGACAAAGAATTTAGAAAAAGTTTTGTTTGTCTTATTTACATGCATAAAAATGCAATTAATTAATGAGTAGAAGCTAACGAAGAAGTTAAAAGACTACAACCACTAACAACTAGTTTAGAGAAAGAGAGGAATGAATTGCTTGAAAAAATTAAGGAATTAGAAGAAAGAGTAGAAGAGTTATATGATGAAGTATGAATGGAGCGAGAAGAGTGTGAAAAAGCATTAAATAAAGCCATGAAATGGAGAAAATGACAAATGTTTAAAACTGTGTTGAAGCATGATGCTGCAATAGGCAAACTTCAAGACCGAATAGATTTATTGAAAAATAATTTGTTGGCTAAAGATCAAAAAATAAATTGAAGAGATTATTTAGAAAGCAAAGAATTACCAGCTTTACCAAAACAACAAAAAGAAAATAGATTACACAGGCTCAAAAAATTAGTAAATAGAGTAAAAGAAAAGACTAAGAAGTTCCAAACTTTTATTGTTCAGAAAAGTAAGTAATTTAGTATGAGATTAGAATATCGAATTCTAGAAATAACCCAGGGAGATGAACAAGTGTGTAACTTCTGTCTCCTAGATTTTGATGACCCAACTCTCCTTAATTTTGATACTGCTCTTGCTACTCATCAAATGGTGGCTCGTAATACTCCTGATGGCTATTCTGACATTGTCTTTATCTGTGGTGAATGTAAAAAAGATTATGATAATAATATTCTTCCATGATGTGAGAAATGTGGTAGGTTAAAAAGAAATAGAAACAGATGTTTTTGTAGTTATTTAAAAGCTAAATCAACTAAATCACTTTCTGACAAAGAACTACTTTCACAAGCCTTCAGTTTTCGTCTAGAAAATAAAACTAGAGAACTAGAAAAAGAGTTATCAATTACCAATGAAGAATTAAAAGTTGAAAGAGAAGAAGTAGCCAAGTTTCAGGAAAAATCAGAAGAGTGAAGTAAAAAGCAAAAATAGGAGTTATTAGATAAGATTAAACAACAAGAAACAGAAATTATTAAGTTGACCCAGAAAATTGAACAATTGAAAACTTTAATCCCTCAAGAGTTAGTCAATAAGTTAAATGCTTATGAGGCAGAGAATGAGAAATTAAAGAACCAGTTAGAACAATTACAACAGAATGGTTAACTAACTGCACAAATTGAGGTTAAGGAAACTAAGAAATGACCTTGATTAAAAATAAAAAAGTAATTTTCCTCTGTATAAATTGAAATTCACAAAGAGAATTGTAGTTACTTTCCTTTTAAAGATTTTTGCTTTTTATTAGGTAACAATGCATCATCATGATGCTTTCTTTTTCCAACATTTATTATTTTTCTTTCTTTTTGGTAAATTTCATAGGTAATCTTTTCTTTTCTTAGATAAGCTTCAATTGTCTGAGTATCATTTATTTTGAAAATATAAAAAGCAATTTTTTCTCCTTGTTTTTTCTTCAAAATACTTCTAATGGTGCTATAATTCTTGGATTCATGGTAGACCTGATGTAAATGAGTTTCATATTAACTATTTTTATATAGAGATAATTCTATATATCATTTAAGAAAAAGGAAAGATAGCAAATGGGATATTATAAAACTGTTAATTATATAATCATATTACAAATGACTAAATTTTGAACCCTGAAATTCAGGTAATACCAATGTTCACTTTGTCTGGTTTTGTTGCAGCATGTCCCATATGATTTGCTAGAATAAGATCTGAAATTTATATTGAAAGTATTTATTAAAAAATATTATATAATAAATATATAATTTCATTATAAAATTATAATATAATAATAAATATATATAATTTTATTAAGAAACAAATTTATTATTAATTTATTACATATTTTTAATTGTTATTTATTATTTTTAAATTCTAAGAACTATAGAATTTATTTTTTTTACTAATTAAATTTATATAATATTTATAAGTAATTGATAAATAAGAAATAATTATTTGGAATAATCACTTGAAATAATTATTTAAAGTAATTACTTGGAATAATCACTTGAAATAATTATTTATAATAATTATTTTTGTAAAATATCAAATTATAACAATATGAAATTGACATTCGAAATAAATTACTTGCAATTTTGACTTCACAACAAAAAGAAGATAAGAAATCTGGAAAAGATTGTGTATCATCTATATCCCTAAATCATATTATCGATTCATCTAATAATGAAGTATTCAAACAAGTTAATGATACATTAAATGAAAGTCAAATTGAATGGCTCAATATGGTTCTCCGAAAAAAATCTTGGAAACAAACAGATGAATTTCAACAGTATATAAGCCAATTCACCGAGGATATGTGTGATAGAGTAAACATTCCAATTTTGGTTCGGGAGTCATTTGTTTCAAAGGGATCATTTAATTCTTATCGTCATAAAGCTCATGATATCGTGCAACAGATTTTGACACATTTGTGAGTGTTTACTTCGAATATTTGTCAATTTACCAGTAGATAACTTAACTAATTTTTTTACAAATAGTTCCGTCCGCCTAGAAGCACCAATGAGAATCGAATCCAATAGCCTTGACCTTGAAAGAACATATGCAATAGACATCACAGTATATATTCTAAATCGATTATTTAGAATGCATCAAGATGTAGTGGATAATGGATGGTAAGCGCCATTGTAAATTTCGAAGTATTGAGCTATCTTGCTTGTTAATTCTCTATTTATTTTGCTTAGGATTGAGCTGACCACTCCCGACACAAAAAACCACAAGATTGATGAACTTTTCAAAGTGATTAAGACGACACAAAAAAATCAAGCTATAATTATTGTCGAGTTTTCGTTTGGTAGAAGAGCACCTTTAACAAAAGAAGATAACGATCAGGTCAAATTATGTCGAAATTCAATGCGAATTTTGAATAAGCTACTACAAAGTGTGCCTAAGGACAAAGCACGCGTTTATCTAATACAAGCAGTCAGTAAGTATTATGATTAGAAGGCAGGTAGTAAAATACGATTTCTCATATATATATATACTTATTATATTTTTCAATAGACGGCTATATCATTATCAAGTATCTAGTCCGTCCTTTACCATTAATATATATTCTTCATCAGTTTGCACGTATCAGAATACCTGTATCCTTTGACGATTTTGAACAGTTTGCTAAAGATATGGCATACTTGATGAGTTGGCAGGCATGGATTAAAAATAAATATTTATGAACATTCCTATAAAAATGCTAACAGGAACTGACTTTTATCATTACAGATTGATGTGCTGTCAACAATTAAAGCAATCAATAAAGAACCAACTGGAGATAACAATATCCATATAACATCAGTGCAGAATACTCCAGCAAAGAAAAGGAATGATAAAAATCAGCCTTTACCTTCATCACCTAAATCCCCATCACCTGGATCTCCATTACAAAGATCTGATTTATTTTCATATTTAGAATAGATTTGGAAATACATATCATGTGATATAATATTTTTAATAACGAATAAAAAAAGTAGATCTAATATCAAGAAATGATCGAATATTTTTTTCCTGTGGGTACAAATGTTAATATTTGTATTTTGGAGAAATCGATCTTATTTTTTATAAATTGGCATAAATAATTGAGTGACAAAATCAAAAGCATCTTACAAAATTAATAAAAGTATTGGTTTTTTGATCATTTCATGATCATACAAATATATTATGCGTTATTCAAAACATTATTATTACAATTTATATAATTTATGTATAGGTAATTAAATTATAGTAATTTGAATAAAAATAATTGCATTGAAGCTTGCTTTACTATTCAAAATTGATTTCAACAAAACTAATCTACAACTATTGTATTTTTCACACGAAATATCACATTTAGAGAACACAATGCAGGGATACCTTGTGTTAATCACAAAATTTAATTAGTGAAAAGAGAAAAATTAGCCCATATTAATATGTTGAAATGAATTACGTGACAACTATAATCACATTACTAAATAAATTTTATCCCTGAAATACCAATGTTCACTTTGTCTGGTTTTGTTGCAGCATGCACCATATTATAAATATATTATTACTATTATTCTAGACTTGTTATAATTATGATATAATACTTAAAGTATTATATTTTTGATTATATTCTTTTATTCATTATTATTAATATATATTATTCTAATTATTCTAATTAAATAATCTACTATAATATCATAAAGTCTATTCTATATAATTCATAATATTCTAAAATAATAATAATATATATTTGTTTTATAATCAGCTAAAATAAGATCAAAAATATTTAAAGATACTATTTTTTTAAGATTTGATTTATAAATAATTAAAATAGTTTGTTATTATTTATTAATTCAATTATATTATTTTGATTTTGTAATTAAAATAAAAGATTAAATATGAGAATTATAAAAAATATATAACTTTGCAGTTAAGATAAAAGATTATGAAATCAAATAATAATAAATTTACAATTAAAATAAGAAATTATAAGAAAATATTAAAGGAATTATTAAAGGAATAAAAAAATAACTAAAATTAAAACTATTTCTAAAAATTACTTGTTTTTTAAAGCTAAAAAATATATGTTATATTTATATATGTTATTCATTACTTAATTATCAAAATCTAAAACTAAATTTAACTAATATTATTGTTACATAAAAAGTACTTGTTTACTTAATCATTATATATTACTTACTTTGATATTATATATAATTTATAATTAATATTAATCAAATTAAATTATATTAATCAATTAACATATATTTTTTATATTAAAATTATATTAATAATAATAATATAAAATAATTAAAATAATATGAATAAAATATAAATAATATGAATAAAATATGATTAATATAAAATAAAAATGAATATGATCTATAAATCACATATAAATTAACTATTCAATCAAAATAAAATAAAATAAATTATAATTATATAATATATTAAAATTCATATCACAATAATAGATAATTTATAACAAGAAATTATAAATTTTTATATAAAGAAAAGTTACTAATAACAATAATAGTTTTGAGAATAATTAACTAAATTTCAAAATTCAAATATAGTTAAATCTTTCTATAGTTATATCTGTTTATAGTTATACTTCTTTATAATCACTCTATTTTGTTTTTCCATTTACATATAAATATAATGAAAAAAATCTCTCTATAGTCACATTTTTTCTATAGTCATCAAATTTTGTTTTCCTAAAAATGATAACTATAGAGAAATTTAACTGTAGTCAAATTATAATTCAAAATGATTTATTAATACAAATTATTGAAAAAAATCAAAAAAATTAAGTAATTCAAGTAATAAAAAAAATTATAAAGAAAATAATGAAAAAGAACCAGAAATAATTATAAATGAATAACAATTTAATCAATTAGTAACCAGTATTATGAGTAAGATTGCTTGTTAAAATCTCTTAATAACTGCTAAAATTCTGTCAAAAATATAATTAACTATTAGTAAATAGCCCATCAAAATTCTGACAAGTTTTGAAGTTTATTGTAACTGAAATTATACTGAAATTCTAATTAAAAATTAGTGTGTAACCTGTCAAAATTATAATAATATTTTTCTGAGAGTTTAGGCAAGCATCCTTAGTCATGAGTAAACTTTTGTGTAGGTATTCTTATAACATGAGTATTTAATCAATATCTATATTATTCATACTTTGTATACTTAATTTTATCAAATTATATCACTTCAAAATTATTATATAATGCATCTTTTTTTATTTGTCAAATAAACTTTCACTATTACTAATAAATATTATATTTACTTAATATGAAATAGTTCTAAAGTAATATAGTACTAATATTCTTTAGCAGCTTAATTAACATCTAATAATACAAAATGTAAGTGTATTAGTAAATATAAACTAATTAATTTACAAATTTTATTAACAATAAACATAAAATAATTTATTAACTAGCTAGATTTTTGTAATAATCAATTGATAATGCTCAAGACTTTATTTTATATTGTATTTATATAATTTGAAAATACATTTATATAATAAACATATCTGATATAATTAATATTTTTGATATAACTAATATAATGAATATATTAAATATATTGGATATATTGAATATTTTGAATATATTATTAAAAAGTTATGAAATTAAAAAATTAGAATTAAGAAATTATGAGCTATAACAACACTAAAATATAATTATTGATATTAGAAATTTGATTATGATAAAGGACAGAATTAGAATCTTCACATCCATTTGAATTTACTTCAGGTTTGTCAATCAGTGCAAAAGATCTATCTGCTTCTTTTTCCCTATCACTGGTCTTTGTTTCTTTTATTCAATAATAAAAAGCATGTTTGAGTCATCTAATAGCATGATTAACAATCCAAAAAAGTTAAATACTCCCAACTTCCATGCACATTAAACATATCAGTTCGCTCTGAGTATTTCTCCCAATCAACATCACTTTTCAGCATATAGGGTAATCTTAACATTACGCATCCAATGGATATTAGTACTGGCTCATACCGATGAAGACAGTAAGGCAAAAAAAAATACTTACGAAGCTTCTTCCCATTTTGCACTTGGATGTATATTCCCTTGGATCCACCACAATTCTTGAAATTTTGTCAGAATGTCGTTAGATTTAGGAGGTTGGAAGGTAGCATAGCTATTATAATAATTAACAATTTTGGAGAGTTAGCCAAAAGAATTTATAATTACACATTTTTATTCATCTTGATTTCTCGGCAACAGAGCTCTTGAAGTTGAGCTGTTGTGCATTATTAATTTAGAACGGCTCTTAAGAATTAGCCAAATGATATTATAATTACGCACCTTGATACCTCACTAACAGAGCTTGTTTCTTTCGAGATTGAGCTGTTAGTGTTGTACAATGGTTTATAGCCAGTCACTTCCTAAAGTGATTCAAGTATATGTAGTACAGGTCCACAAACTTTATGCGTCCAGTCATCCTTATAGTCGTCAGCTACAAATTTTTTGAATTGGGGTCGCTTGGCTTAATCGTAATTCATAATCCTGATGAGCAGATGAACTGCTGCGATATTTGAACTTCATAAAGAAGTTTGATGGACGAGGATTTATATGATTCTTCAAGAAAGTTTTTGCTCTTCGCGACGTGTTTTCATATAGCTCATGTTCGCTTTAAGACGATAAAAATAAATTAGCAAAGACGCGGCTCATGGTAATTTATTAATTTTATGACGCGATGTATAACCGCATTTGTATAATTACTTAAGCAAAGATTAGACCATGAACTCGAGTAGGGTTTTATATACTTTTTTCGTCTTCAAAGTTGGTTTACTCGAGCAGAAAAAAACTCGCTTGTATTCTGTGGATGTTTTCATATCAAATATATATGAAAATCGCAACCCCTGCGCAAGCGTCTTCTAGGTATTAAGTTGAAGGTCGGGGAAAAACTGAGGTTATTCATCATGGATAAGCGGGCGTTATTACCATACCCAGATGTACGTTTCAACGCTGGCTGCACGTTTTTTTCAATGATAGCATATATTGCTTTGACCTTTACTATATATTCAACGTACATCATTGTCGAAGGAATATTTCATGATCAACAATCAGCGATTCCTTAATTGATACGATAAGATTTTTGTACCGTCTCCCCATTCACCAGATATACTTTTCTTTTTGCATACCGGTTATGTGAGACTCTGAATTTGGCTTGAATCCTACTTTCGGACAAAGACCATCGCCGTAGCATTCAGTCAAAGAAATCATTCATATGAAAAATGATCTATAATATTTTGAATTTGAATATCGGCTAATTTTGAAATATCATCTGCACTATATGATTTGATCCGCCTATACCCATTTTACTAAACAGCCTATAACGATAATATAAATCTTTCTGGCTTTACGCAGATTAACCATTGTGATATCTGAATAATAAATTCAATAATTTCAGTTATAATATAGAAAGTAGATTTGTTAATTGGAGTGCTCCAAATCATTTGGAGCACTCCAATTAAAGTAGTGTCCAATGCTAGCAGAGCATCTGTAGATCCAATGGGTATAGGATTAATTTCCTTCGATCGGTTGGAGCAGTTGAAGATGAGGACACGTCAACCTCTGCGAGATCCATTATGACGATCAAAACCAAAAGATCAATATAATTTTTTTAAATACGAATCGAAAATAAAAAAATTAATACTTTTTCTGAAAAATAAACACCATTGTTAATAAAGTATAATTGCAAAAAAGTAATAATTTACCTCTTCTCTGCGAGATCAACAACAGCTGTGCCCTTTAACACTTTTCCGATTTTTCTGTAATTCTTACGCAAATTGCGCACTTTTAGTTTAATCGAATTATACTTTCTTCACCTCAACCTGTTAACAATCACTTCTCCAATTCAGCATTTTTGGTTTCTTTCAAGTTCAGTTTCAAATTTTCATTAGAATGTTCAATTTTTTCATCAAGTTTCATAAGTAACGCGTTTTCGTTATAATTCTCTAGATTGTGCTTGTAATAATTAGTGTTCTCCCAACTTCAGTCGAAAGTTGGGTTTTAAATTTATCAGCAATATTTGTTTTATGCTCGAGAGTGACCTTGATTTGATAGTTTGCGCAAGATTAAAATTTCTTTTTCATTATTTCGGGATTTTATTATAACGAATTTTAATGGGATGTTGTTTCACATGATTAACTTGAAATTTCTAGTTCTTTCCGAATTCCTCGAGTTATATATATATACTTTTACAATTGCATTTCGCGTATCAGTATTATAATGAAACATATACATTTATTGAATTTAGTGGTGATTGCTTTTTTTAGCCTGCTTAATTTTCATAATGTTGACGCTGTAGAGGTTGACGACGCTGTAAAGGTTGACGACGCTGTAAATTGCAATGTTACAGTAGATCGCTTCAACTACGATCTAACAAATCTTGAACAGTAAGTGTAAATCTAACTACACGGTGAAAGCCGATATAACGGACGATCATACAGCGGGTTTGGCTTTACTCTTGGAACCAGCTAATATAGCATCTGTTGTAACGGATCAGATATATCGGCCCATATGACAGGAGCGGATGGTCCGTTACATCGACTTTCACTATTGTAGTTCAAAGTGCGAATAAATTCTCATCTGTAAATTATAGGTATCGTTTTTCTAGTTGAATTTTGCTCACGTTTGCTTTAATATAGAGAAAAGATAAACAGAACAACGGATACACCACCTTCGAAAAAGGTGGAACTATATTACGTTAGTCCATGTAAACCATTAAATGTTTCAATATATGAGGATAAAGACGACGAAGGAGATTATTGCGGAGAAGATACATATGTCTGTCAAGTATTAGTCTATACTAAAGAAAAAAAAGACAAAAACGGAGAGAAAGAGGAGACCCGACTTGTCGCCGAAGTGCAACAAATTGCGGCTAATGATGAAAAAAATTTATTAAATGCAAGTTTTTCACTTGCATCTCTAGAAGATAATGATAAAGGTAATTTATTGCTATCAAATTATCATTTTGAGAGATCGATTGACTTTAAGTAATGAACGATTTTTATTTTTATTTTTTCGGGTAGTTCCTCCTCTTTTGCTGACTCTGAATGGTGGTACAGATAAAGGAGAATCACATCAAGCTAAATTTACATTTATTTGTAGTGAAGAGGTATTTATTATTTGACTTTAGTTAGTATAATATTTTATAAAAAAAATGATTACATAATATTTCATTTAATAGGATTCTACACCCACGTTTAAAAGATATGATAATGGCATATTAGAGGTTGAATGGAAAATTAGCACTTGTAGGTAAGTAAATTTACAGGTGATTTGTATCTAAAGACTATTCTTGATTTTATTTTAATCTCGATTTCATTTTATAGCAAGAAACCGCTGGATCCAGACGAAAACCAAGGACGTGGTTTTACGAAATTTTTGACCATGTACGAATTATTTTTTACTTCTTGCTTTTAACATCTCGTTAAGTAATTGTACTTATTTATATATTTTTTTCAGAGTATCTATTCTTATTTTGACATATTTGGGTATTGGTGCTGCATACAACTATCATGTCTATCGAGCGCAAGGATGGGACCTAATACCAAATAGGTAATAATATTATTTACCATAATATACTGGATCTTTACAAAATATAAAGTGCTCTAACTCCAATGTATTTTTTTGTGATTGATTCATGTAGAGATTTTTGGCGAGATGTACCATATTTGATTTCGGTAAGTACCCATTATTCATTTTATTGTACTCAAAAAAAACACTCATAAATTTTTTTATTTTCATTTTCTGTTTTGTCAGGATGTACTCAAGTATGTGGTTAGGGCTTGTCGTGGTGGACGGTCCGGTTATTCGGGTGTCTGAAAGCAAACGATAGATTTTTTATTGTTTTATGGTTAATTGTAAATTTATGTTGCCGATTCTTTTTATTATCATCATCTTGGGTCAAATTTTAGTGGCATCTTTTTCTGTAAGTTAATTAATTATCAGTTGAGAAGGAATATTGATTTTATTTTATTTTATTTGTTTTTATTCGGATTTAGTTGATAGTATTTCTATTTTGTTGATTTTTATGTATTTCAAAGCATTGCATTGATAATTCTTTTTCATTAAAATCTTTTAATTGATATCGAAATTTGGCATCAAGTTCTATTTCCACGTGCAATCTTAGAATGTTTTATATAAAGACAATTGTGACACCACCCAGAAAGTTGTTTTTCTATCAAAGATTTGAAATAAATCTTTAGATAAACGATTATTGGATAGACAATAGTAGTTAGCACGCGTCTCAAATTAAATCGATCCAACAAGTTTGTTGCTTATTTGGAATAATCGATAAAAAAAAGATTGTTGTTCTTATGACGTCAGAAAAAAATGTGAGATTGCAAATAAGAAGCGACGAGTCCCTTTTCTAAAAATTCATCGATTCTTCTGCATTTGCATTAAAGATTTTCATAGGTTTTTTTCGCGCGCGAGTTATTTATTATCCTTCAAAAAACAACAGCGAACATGTCAGGTTGAATTCTACCTTACGATTTATTTTTTTTTTGCGGTTTCTGGTTTTGTAAGCTTCTAATATCATATTATAAAATTATGCACAATAATATATAGCCAAAAGCTACAACATCATGTATAAATCCAATACACCAGACTCTGTTATCGATAAGCACGTAACAGACTTTGAGGCTCAAGGTAAATTTTATATTTTAATATGGATAAAGTTTTATCTATAATTTTTAATTGCGACGAAAATCATCATCAATTCTTAAGGTTTTAAAGCGACCAAGAATAAACTGTACAAGGGTATCATGGTAACCGTGCCAGAGAATACTTTCAGTGAGTTATTGATTTTATACGCATATATTTTAATCATCATCATTAACTAACTCATTATATAAATAGATACATTCTCTACTCAGAATGATGAGCACATTGACACTGTAGAGGTTGATGGAGTGGTTAAGACACAATAAAGAGTCTCAATATCAAATTATTTATGTTTCACAATTAAAACAAATAAATAAATAAATAAATAATGGATAACTAAATTGTTGTACATGCCACCAAAGTGTCTGATTAGTAAAGCTGTCTTCTTTCTTTAGCTTGATTCTGTTCGTTTTTTCTTGCCGTCAAATATAACGATCGATAATTAATCAGGAACAAGAAAGGTCGGCTTTACATTAAATATTATCCTCCAGATCAGTCACAATGGGCGGACGCTAAAAAAAATTAAAAATTCAAGTTAGTTTAGTTTCAAAAGATAGATGAAAATAAAAATTGTATTAAGTGATTGTTATTGTTTTAATGAATAAAATCCACTTTCTTTTGGTCTTTGATAATTCTTCAATGGCGAGATATTCGAATCTCGCCATTTTTTTTCCGCGTTCCGTTTCTTTAGTGAGTCACTGTATATAAGAATCGGTGATGAGAGAGTCTCGAAGCTTTATTTCCAGATTATATATATTTGCAATTGGTTAATAATTTTATTTTCTTGACACACCGCATATGTACATACACAGTATCGCAAAAATATTATTTGCAGAAAAAAAATCATAACCATCCTATTTCTGCTTAATATTATATCATTAACTAGCTTCTTAAGATCGAGTGATTATATCAATCAAAGACATGAAGTTGTTCAGTAACTTCAAATGAATTAGCCCTGCGAAATTCAACTATATAGACACGTCCGACAATAGGAAGTTGTTGTCCAAATACTGTATTATGATAGTTATCATATAGTCTCGCAATAGCATGTTCCATTATTTGCTTTCTATTGAATGCTAAGACTGAGTTCGATTGTGGTAGGATGTTATCAGGAAATGGTGGTGATTATAGCCACGAGTACCTCTGATTACTAATTCAAAAAAAATATGTAAAATAATATAATATTTATGGTTATATCTTGGGCAACATTATTTTCTGTGATACTTCAGCTGACAAGGCCCGGTTGATTGTATTCAATGGTCGCTACAAAAAATTTCCTCTGGAAATATCATTTTTTGGAATATTTTTTGCTACAAGAAATATTTCATTTCTGTGAGCATCGATCGGTTAAGCATGACAATATGACAACTGTACCTAAACCACCTATATCCTAAAATTATAGTTATTAATAAGAATAAGAAGAGCCAAATTGGGTTGAATAAGATTCCGAAGAAGTAAGCGAAAAGAAAGATCAATAACAAAGGAACCAAAAAAGGAGAAAGGAACAAGAGAAACAAGATTAAATGGATGCGTTTCATTTTTGGAGAGCGGTTAAAGCGTAGTCCATAATGTGATCAATCCCCCTAAATTTTCAGCGCACCCGATTAATGATTTTAATGATTCATAAGGTCAGGGTAAGGGTAATGTTAGGATGAGAGAGGATAAAGTTATATGTAAAATTGCCAACCCGACATTTTTAATTAGTATTCCAAGACAGTTTTAGGCATTGGTTTTCTTGTAATATTCATTTTTCATACCTTGTGTCGCCGAGTTGATCAAAAACTTATGCATCCCTATTGAACATGAATCACACATGGACTACGCATCCCCATTTTTGGATAACGTGACTTATCACGTAAAATTTTGATCTAAAAACTTGATTGGTCAATCATAATATATAACTATAGTCAAACTCTTCTATAGTCACCATCCTCAGAAAAGCAAAATTTGGTAATTATAAAGAGAATGTGATTATAAAGAGATTTTTTTACTATATTTATATGTAAATAGAAAAGCAAAATAGGATGATTATAGAAAGATATAACTTAAAAATAATACAGCAAGTACATGATACTTATTTGTTACCTATTGCAACATATTGTAACTTCAAAATTTTATAAACTATAATTAGTTGTAACTAGGTGATACTTTATTTGTTATCACATTGCAATAATTATTATATTATCTTTAATGTGATTATAAATGGATATAACTATAAAAGAGTTTAACTGTATCAATTTCAAGTTATTACTTTTTTTAATAAAATATCCATATTATTCAAATTATTAAATTACTGACTTCTTTTATTCATTAGCAATAATAGTGCTACCGTTTCTAGTTCTTACGTATGAGAATATTTAGAAATGGTTAACAGCGACTGTGTTCACGGCAAATTTTAAATAAGAGAGATATAAATGACGAAAGTGGATGGTTGACAACAATAAATTAACAAGGATACGAGTATAAGAT